CTTTTTTTATTGACGTGTTCATGAGAATAGCATGAAAACTATTAATGAACCAAGCCGCCGGTTTCGGTGAGCTTGGAAAACTTCTTCTAAACTGGAGCATATTTGAACAAACAATGACCTATGTCGTTCACAATAATGTTATGTTCTAATCCATAGAAGAGAGACAAACAATTCGGGAAAAAGCTGCGCATGCCCTAGAAAAAGGGATGATAAGGGTGAGACGCGGTAACGCGTCTCAATGTCCAACGAGGTGCGCAAAGTGAGACGCGTTACCGCGTCTCAATGTCGTCAATGTGTTAAGAGATTGGTTTGCTAACAACAAGCCTTCCTTTTTTCCTCAAAATAATGCAGAGATCCTGCTCCCTAGTTTAATTCCTTTTCAGTACTACTCATACAAAGCATGGATCCACATATTGGTTCTTTTTCAATGGACTTTGAGATCTGTTTGATTTTGGATTTTGTATTTTTTTAGCTGTTTTCCCTTCAAAACAGTGTTTCGGAATCATGTGCGCCTATCACGTTCTCATTCTCCTCATCCAGCTATCCTTTGCCCCTCTCCTTTTGGCCACGTTTTGTGACCTGTCAATCTTGTTGCGAAAACTAACGTTTTGCGAGTTGCGCCGTTTGTTCACCTTTGTCCCGTTCAATCAGACATCGCTGTGATTTGCTTGCGAAACGAAACATCTGGTTTACTTTATTGCTCATTTGATGCATGCTGTTGTAACATTTTCTAAATAAGAACATTTTGGGGCATCACAAATGCTCCCTCTTATCGCTTCCGCTCTCGTTGCGATTGTTAGATCAGGTGTTGCTCATATCACATGTCGAAACATTTATCGCATTGGATGACATCCGTGAGTTCTCTGATACAAGAGTGGTCGCATATGACTCTTCAGTCAGCATTAGGGCCGCACAACGTAGGGGATTCCTCTTCGGTAGAGGTTCGTATGTTGCCCCGGGAGGTGGAAGGGGTTCAGTGGGAAAAGGTCTCATTCTAGGGTTGGGAATTTTTCGGTGAAGGTTTCAAATTCAGAAACTTTTCGAAAATTGGGGAAAATGGAGGTCCTAGGAAGTTTGGGGTTTTTTCTCAGCTAAAATGTCTTTTCTTTCTTCCTTCCGTCTGCTCAGTAGAACCTTGGGAGAATGAGCTATATACCTTGGATAGGTGGAGGTTTTGCTGTTACGAACGGGGTGGTCGTATTGACTGTTAAACTTCTCAACACGTGGCTCATCCTAGTCCCCACCTCCTCATAAAAAACCCATCCACAGCCGCTGTTTTTCAGATTCTTCAATTCATGTTTGTCAACTCATCGTGAGCTCCCTCCTAGGCACTCCTGAACACAACCATAAGTTATGATCCTCTTCGTATTTTCTATAGTGATCGCGCTTTCCATACTAAGGAAGGCAACTTGCATCGATTACTGAATTTTTGCGAAAAATTTAATGTAATTGAGAATTTCTGAGTGTTGAGTGTGAGGTGTTGGAAAGAATTTAGCGTCGAGCTTTTCTCTACTACAAATCAATACGGCCTTTGCTGTCAATTTCAAGCTTTTTTCACGGTCAATTTTAATTTCGATCTCTATTTTATATCGCAGTTCTCGATCACTGTTAACTGTCGCTATACCATCACTTCTCCCCTTTGGAGCCTTAGAAAACTAGGAAGTTATGGTTGAACACTTGCCGGTCCTTCAATTTTTTGTTTTTGGTTCTCTCTCCTGTATTCAGTCACTGAACATGTCTTCGTAATGTGGTGTCATGATGATAAGGCAAGAAGTGTCAGTCATTCTTTAAAGAAGAAGGTTGTAAGGTAACTGGACGGGCGAACTGTAAATTAATTGCAAAACCTTGTAATAAAAATCACGCTCCGTTCTTGCAAACATTTCAACTACTCACATTGAGAAAAAAGGCATTAGTTTGAATTCTTTTCTCTGTCATTCTCTGTCATTTCAGCGATGTTGTTTAAAGCAAACAGAACTTTCCACTGCATTAAATCTGTGGTTTATAAATAAGCAAGCTTCATGGTCATTTCACCTTAAAAATCAAAAAAAGCATCTGGTAGAGGACATGGCCAACTCTCGAAACTGGGTCCCTCTCTACTCGGTCTTTGATCTTTCATTGTGTCCAAATGCAATAGGGGACCTCTGCTCAAAATCCCTCGAAATGGTTTCGCTATTCTAGTGTGAAGCTTTGGATGTTATAGTTCGTATAAAGATAATGCATATTATCAAGTGGCGGAAGCACTGTTGTGGCTGTGGGCGCCATGCCACAGTTCGGAAAAGTGGATTCCTCTGCATCAGTCGAGATTCCTCCAATTCACCGGCGTCTTAGAACTTGAATCAGATTTGTCAGACTGAGTTTAACATTGGCTCAATTACAAACTCCAATGTGTAGGCCAAATATGTTTTCAAATGCCTCTGCAATTTCAAATGAAATTAGGTTACATGGCTCAAACAATAAGGGGATCTTTGATCGCCGCTGGCGCTGATCTTTCATGAAATTATTCCAATTGCCACTTTATTGCATCATTAAAGCAAACGCTGACTATCTTCAATGAGTAACGGAGTATTAAAAGCCTGGCTGAATTCAACCTAGAGGTTCTATTCTCTAGTGCATATTTCTGACGAACAGCTAAACGAATAGGACTCAGGGTGGCTACTAAATATTGGCGCATGGTTTATTGATCATATTTCCAAAAAGAGAAGCTATCATATCTTCAGAAGTTTATTTTCATATACAAAAAACATGAAAATTCATTACCAAAGAAAGTGCTCGAGATGGCCTCCTTTGGTAGCGATACAGGCTTGAAGTCTCTTTCAACTGACATCACCGTGGGCCGCAAGTAGCTGACGTCGGCGTGACGTGAGTAGATCTTCAGACCAGAAGTGGCGCACGATTTGCAAAACGACAGGCAGTTGTTGGATCTGGCTAGCAGACATTCTGCTCGACCTTGTGTACACACAAGGAACCGTTTTTCAAATTTGTCATGGTTTGGGCAGGAATTACTTCCGAAACCATGACACCGCTTGTCTTTGTGGATGAATACATCAAAGCCAGCGCCCAGATCTACCCGGAAACAAATTTTCACGTGATGCCCTTCTTTCAAGGACTCTTTTGACCTTCAGCGAACGTCATTGCATTCTTCAGCAAGACGGGGCGCCTCACATGCCGCAAAATCAATGCTGGAGAACTGTGACCGTCATTTTCCAAGTTACCAGGCACAAAATGTTTGGCCATCTAAGTCGCCCGATTTGAACCAATTGATTTGGCGGTGTGGGGCTTCTTGAAGCAGAAGATGCCTTCTGAGCAACGTCGAAGTTTGGACTCCCTGAAGGCTTCCTTGGAGGAGGCGTGGAAGGAGCTTGACGTCAGCTACTTGCGGCCCACAGTGATGTCAGTTGAAAAGAGACTTCAAGCCTGTATCGCTACCAAAGGAGGCCATCTCGAGCACTTTCTTCAGCACAATGTACTGCCATGTTATAAGGTATATAAGATAAAACTCTGAAGATGTAAAAGCTTTGTTGCCAGCAAAAATTATAGCTCACAATTCCATTGCGCAATATTGGTAGCCACCCGGTAATTTTCCACATTTTATTCATGAGTTGTTCATAGTGGTTGATATTACTGTCCACATTGAGATAATCTTCGTTCTTGTAAAAAAAAAGACTTTTTGTAATTTACTATTAATTCCAGCGTTCTGGCAGGGGGTCAAATTGATCTCTAACCATTGCTCTTTTATGTTTTGTTGATGAAATGGTCTTTTCATATCGCATGGTCTTTTTTACAATTTCGTCACGGGGCTTCATGCTTCACGCATTTATTGATTTTTCTTCCAATACCCTTTCAGATGGCTCTACGTCTTACGTCTTCTGCTGGCAGAACTGCCAAGTATGTGATTAATTTGTTTTTCTATTATTGTTATCAGTGGCTGCTCTTTCGTTGGAGGCGGTCTGTTTTTGTCAGTGTTGACAATTTCGAAAAGATACTCGTGACTGGGTCATCAGTTCGCTTCGCATCCTTCACAGCCGTCGCACGTAACGTGTTGAACAAAATCATGAATTTAAATATCTGTCACGTATGCTATACTAGACTTTCTTATGTCTTTCATTATCGCTGCGAGCACTCAAATAAACACAACGTATTTACCTTCCTGAGTGGTAGGAAAAACTATTCATTTTATTCAAAATTCTGAAAGGATTAATACTAAGCTTGTCGTTATCAGTAATGGAAAAAAGCTGAGCTGACTGGCTGTATAAAAGCAGAGTAGCGTAGTGGTTGGTGGAAGAAGGATCAACAGCAGTTAAAGCATGATTTTGCGCTCTAGTGGGGAAGATGGACAGATTGAAATTTATGCGCCAACGTACTGGGGAGAGGGAGGGCAGTAGCCGCTGCGACGTCTGCTTCCCCCAGCGAGATGGTGTAAACTCACACATTTTCTGCCTTCCACGTATGTCAAGCAGCTCGCGCCCCTCCCTCGGTGTGGCCCCTGAAGCCTACGTTCTCCACGGCTCACCCTCGTTTTCCACTAAACGGTGCGAACATGCGGCGACTGCTTCCACCTCGCAACTACGTGACCACCGTGCTTGTCACGATAGGAAAATCGATTCTTATACCTCGATTGTCTTGTTGCAAACTCGGACATCTGTCTTACAAATTCGTTCACATTTTCTAATTTTGCAGCAAATTCGTTCGTGCGATGTCGGGTGGATATGGTGATGGCGTTGGAAAGGCGAGTTTGTAATATTCGTGTTTTTAGTTCATGTGCTTGTGTATTGCACTATCTAGTTAGTAAGTTTGCATTGCTGCTCATGCTGTTTTGCTGAACAAATTTTTGATGATAATAAATTTTAGGGAGGTGGCAGTGGTGGTTCCATTCGTGATGCTGGAGGTGCTTTCGGTAAGATGGAAGCCGCTAGAGAAGACGAGTATTTCCATAAGAAGGTGAGGTCCTCCATTTGTCTTCTACATTTGAAATTCTCAATTTATGAAGGAGTCAGTTTTCTTAGTATTTTCTTAGTATTGTATTGGGCTGTCTGGAAAATTCCACCGATTTCGGTAGCACTACTTGAATGGCTTAGTTCTCAACTACTTTTCAGTAGCTTGCTGCAGCTTTGCATATCGTTTTGAAGTGCGTTTCTCGCTCTATATAGAGTTCTAAAGCCTTGGAAACCACCTGGCCAAAAGGCGATTTCGCATCACTTCATTATTTCAACCATAAATAGCCGGAGAGAGGCGCGAGCACGTCGCAATATCAGCTTTGTGTTTGATGCCAGATTCACAGAATGGCCGATGTCAGAGTCTGCGATTGGAGCGATCGGTCAAATGCCAATCGCGCGACCATCGCGCGATTCGCGCGACGATCGCGCGATTGACATGAGTCCCATCATGACCAATCGCTCCAATCGCGCGATGGGCGCGATCACTCCCGTTGTGGCAGGCAAGTATTGATTTCGATCGAAAGGGGGGCGCGCCAGCTATTGATCGCTCCCTGCCACAACGGGAGTGATCGCGCCCATCGCGCGATTGGAGCGATTGGTCATGATGGGACTCATGTCAATCGCGCGATCGTCGCGCGAATCGCGCGATGGTCGCGCGATTGGCATTTGACCGATCGCTCCAATCGCAGACTCTGACATCGGCCATAGCGCTGATGCATGCAAGGTGGAATTCGTGTTCTCCAGAATGCGAGAGCCTCGAAAATGGGGAGCGGTAGAGTGATATCGGACGTGCATAAAAAATGGAGGATTTTGGACTTAAATTCAAATTCTGCCACGACAATGTAGAGGAGCCCAATTGCTCAGACCTCGGTCAGACTCGGCGATTGCGTCGCTGGACACCAGCGACGGAGCCGCCAGCGACGGAGCCGCCAGCGACGGAGCCGCCAGCGACGGAGCCGCCAGCGACGGAGCCGCCAGCGACGGAGCCGCCAGCGACGGAGCCGCCAGCGACGGAGCCGCCAGCGACGGAGCCGCCAGCGACGGAGCCGCCAGCGACGGAGCCGCCAGCGACGGAGCCGCCAGCGACGGAGCCGCCAGCGACGGAGCCGCCAGCGACGGAGCCGCCAGCGACGGAGCCGCCAGCGACGGAGCCGCCAGCGACGGAGCCGCCAGCGACGGAGCCGCCAGCGACGGAGCCGCCAGCGACGGAGCCGCCAGCGACGGAGCCGCCAGCGACGGAGCCGCCAGCGACGGAGCCGCCAGCGACGGAGCCGCCAGCGACGGAGCCGCCAGCGACGGAGCCGCCAGCGACGGAGCCGCCAGCCACAAGAGTGGGCAACGGGCGATGACTCATCACACGATCGATCGATCACACTACTAATTTGTATGAAATTTTGGAATGTGGCACTTCGCTCGGCGACATAATAACTAGTCTTTTACATAATTAAGCTTAAGGTAAATTAGCGATCAGGACCTCTAAGTCTTTTCATAGTTTTAAGACACAATGAGGAGTTTGAACTATATCAAAATACTTTTGTACGTATGAACTTCTAGAGTTTTTAACCACCATCCCTTTGAAATCCGAGTTAGCCTTCCAAACGTTCAATTCGTTTCCCAGCAATGTGTACTATGAAAGCTCTCATCTGTAGTTACATTTTGTCTATTGGTAAAGTCAAAAATCAGAAAGAAAAACTGCGTTCAGGGGAAATTTTGCATAATGTTGAGCAAGATTTGGTCGCGCCAAAAAGAGGCGCGGTCCCACGAGCACGCTACGTCCAAATCCGCATTGTCGTCAAAGGGTTAATCTCCCCCTGCCAACCGATATCGATCGTGTGATGAGTCATCGCCCGTTGCCCACTCTTGTGGCTGGCGGCTCCGTCGCTGGCGGCTCCGTCGCTGGTGTCCAGCGACGCAATCGCCGAGTCTGACCGAGTCTTAGGGCGCGGGCGCTCTCAATTGCGATATTGAGCCACCTGGGATATAAAATGAATGCGGAACGAATTTTGAAAAAGTCAACATGCGTGTAGCGCTACAGTCCTGGTTTCCAACACTCATCCGCTCTCCTTCTTCCCTCTTCTGCTCAATGAAAACGACCCTTTTCTTGATTGAATTGTAAACGTGCAACAGAAAGAGATTCGGTGGCAATAATCGACGAGCCTTCTCTGAAAACTTTGATCGAGATTAGGGTCAGCAGGTTTTTCTAAAAGGTGGAAATGCACGAGGGCAAAGTTGTAAGACTTTCACGAGGATTGTGGCAGGTGCGGCTCTTCGAGCCCAGACGAAAATGTTGCATAGGACTCTACTCTCAACGAAGTGTCAAGTGCACCGAAAACTTCAATGAATGCGCCCAATAAGAATTATCATAAAAGGGTACGGTTCCTCCCATACCGCAGCGCTAACCCTGCAAGAAACTGAACTAGATGGGCTACTATGGATGCGTTGCTAACATCTTACGCACCAAACCTCTTTGCTGCACTTTTCCTGTGGCTATGACAGCTTCGAAATTCAGCTATGTTGAAATGGCATTCGCCGGATTTATTGCTTACAAATTTGCAGCGCTTCCAACATTTGTAACGTTCTAACACCTATCTTGAACAGGCGTGCGGGGATTATAACACCTTTTATTTTCGCCATCGATACAGTGTTATGTTTTGAACAGAGGATGTGCCATTTTCGAATTCGAGTGCAAAATCGGCGGAACTTTCCGCGAAACCCAGTACACTTAGTTGTCAGCCTGACATACGAAATATTGTTATTTTTGGTTTATGGTTAAGATTTCCCAGTCCACACTGGTTGGCCTCATCCATTGTAAACTTTTTCATGGGAAGCTTCGCCGCGAGGAAAGAGTTGATCGAATGAAGCCTTACCTTATTTAGACGATTTCTATGAAAGTTTCCTTGAATTCTGTTCTGTGAAAATTTTGAGACTTCATGATTTTGCGACAATTCCCCAATTCCCAAAGTTGATCCCTGGTTTGAGCGTGAAGCTGACGGATAGTTCTTGTGCCAAGGAATATTTCGGCCCACAAGCTGGCAGCGTGGCACGATTTTTGTTCTTATAGTCACGAAGAATTAATTGGCAAAACAACTGGCAGTAGAACATTGAAAGGATATGCAGTGAACTCCATGCAAAAACGGCATCTAGGAAACTGCTGAAAACTGCCTTTTTGTTATTGTATTTGTTTGTGACCATGTGCTGTTCAGCAAAAGCAACAACTCGAAGAACTGAAGGCACAACTACAGCAAGAGATCGAGCATCATGAGAAACAAGTAGAGAGCCACAAGGCGGTACGTGTAACTTTTTTTCTTGGCTGCTTTTGATGGTAAAGTTGCCTGGAAGTCATATTCTTTTCATGCGCTGTTATTATTCAAAATGAATGACGCCTACTGGTTTTTAGGTTTTGGAGAGACATCGACAGCGTGTGAAAGAGCTTGAGGAAACTGTCAACAAGCAATGACCGCCAACTTCGTAATACCAGATGATCTTAGGCTTCTTTAATAACTGATGTCACGTTGCGTTACAGATTAACTTCAGTCTTTTCATGTTTCCAGGTTTCATTTGTTTTCCAAAGAGCGTAGTTTTCGTGTTTGTAATGAAGTTTAGCTGGTTTTATCTGAGTGTTCTGAATGGTAAGGTAAACATTTGGGCGCAAACAATTGATACGAATATGAAACGCAAGTGCGATGTGTCCACACGCTGTTATTGGTTGAAGAATGTATTTGAAACACAGAAATGAAGCTGCACTAATATTACAAGATAACACTCAACGGAGCTCTTCTGAACACTAAGGCTTAAATTGGAGAATGTGCTTAACTGACGTTGGAGAGGAAGTCTTGCTACACTCTTTTTCAAGCTTTCTCTTTTTTCTGAAAGTCGCAGGTAGATTTGATGACCATCAAATGGTAGAGCGCATTCTCGGGGCTTTCATCCACTGGGTGAATATGGGGGTTGCAATCTGTAGCTATCAAAGAAAATTCGAAAAACCTCTTGTTAGGAACTTGTCAATCTGTACTCCGAGTAATTGTTTTTTTTACCAATATTCATAACTATAATTCATGTCAACGAACCTGCAATTGCTACGACAGAAATGTTCACCGTTACAGCGTGTTTCATCACTACCACGCTTTTACGGGCACCATTAAGAAGGTGGAAGTCTACGCTGCAGAACTTCGGAAGCTGACCGAGATAGCTCGTCAAAAGTACCCGTACCGCGAAGATGTTTATTTCTATCATAGTTTTGCGAATCGCCATGTCCGGGGTGATTTTGAGAAATTCTGGAGCTGCGGCGAGATTTCTCACTTCATCTAGCGTAGTCC